GGGCTGGGCAGCAGCGGGCGAGGGGCAAAGGGGGGGGGTTGCTGGCTGCCACCCCGAGCCCTGTCCTTAGCACTGGTCACATAACCCGCTGGCTGCAGGAAGCTAAACTGAGCTGGGCTGAGGCTTCCACAAGCACCGTCTTCTGCCCTTCAGGTACCCCGTGATGGGAGGGGGGCCCAGACAGCGCGGGCAGACGGTGGCCACCAGACAACTCTGCCTCAGGAGGGTGATTGTTTCTCACACCCGCCCCTATGCATGGGGGAAGGTGCAGAAAAGGAAGAATCAAGGAGTGGAGCTGTGTCTACCCAGGGGGCAAAGGTTACTGGGTACCAGTGTCTAACTTCAGCAAGTGTCCCCTTGAGTGGCTCCATTCATGGGTAAAAAATGCCCACTATTGCATGAGAGCCGTGGGTTTTATGGAGCATGGGAGAGTTTCAAAGGGCTTGTCTAGGCTACAGAGAAAATCAAAGCTGCCACAGTCCATCTTCCAGGGTTTGAATTAGCCTGTCCAGTGAAGACATGCTAATTCAAACTGAGAGGGCGCTCCTGTCTCATGAGGCGTAAGGGATGTCGACAGGACAGGTGCGTGTGCGCTCCGGTTGACCTCCCACTGTGTGGATAGCCCCAAAACATGATTTTAGATACTTTGACTCCAGCTGCACAAGGAACGTAGCTGAAGTTGCATATCTTTTAGTCAACTTTTTTGGTGTACACCAGGCCAAAAAGTCCCACTGACCAGGAGAACTTGGATCTAACCAGATTAGGTGGAGAAAGGGTAGGCGCGAGGAAGCACTATGAACATTTTACACATGGGGAACTGAGTTGCAAAGATTAAGTAGCTTGTCCCACATTTCTCAATGAGACCCTAGTCTTCTGAGTTCCAGTCAGAGCCTTAATCACAAGATCAACTTTCCTGCCTTAATGGGCCACTCAGTACCTCTTACAACAGTGTGGGAGCTGCTGCTGGAGAGCACTGGAGAGTTTTTAGGATGACGCTTGGCTCATTATTTCAAAGACCTCTTCAGAAGGAACCAAGATTTTCTGTCTGTTCCATATCACAATGGCAAGAACCTCTTTTTGTGCTGCTTCTATAGACTGTGGCATTGTTTCCACTAGCTCTGTTTTCCTAGTGATGATAGATCAGACTCTTCACTCCCTAAAGATGCTCTCAAATATAAGTCTCCACCTGAGAACAATGCATGGATTTGCCATGTATATATTTAATGTAAGATTTAAAACTACCTACCTACAGAAGCTGTCAGTGAAGGAAGGGCGAGAGGCCTCAAGTTATTCTGAGTATAAAGCACCACCCAATAAGACAAAATTGGCCTAGATTCTCAGCCATGCTGTGGCTACTTTGTTTCTATCTGCAAGCACAACGTGGTTATAAATTCAGCAGCTCCAGCAGCTGGAAATTTTCCCCATTGCAAAGGGAACCTCATGTGGCGCAGAGCAATCTAATTTGTCTGGCATAGTTTGTTCACTGTAAACCATTCTGCTTCTTGCTCATCATGCCAGTGTAGTCTAGGATTCAGATCTGCTGCCATATGTGTCACCATATGGTCACAGAAGTTTGTTCTATTATGTTAAATTAGGGCACAAAGTTAAAGATATTGGATACACAGTGCCCTGATCACTTTTCTTTTCTGCTTCGCAGCAGCATGGGACTTACTACTGTGCATATCCTGTTTCACAGAGCAGCAACCCATTAGGTTCACTGCTTTCACAGAACCCCTACAACTTTCAATTTGGTTATATATTAACAAAAGATCACCAGTGGTTCTTTACTTACTCACGTTCCAGCCAGTGGACGAGCATGGATTTGGTGATCTCTCTGATTTGCTGAAGTTGGACCCACTGCTGATTTGGAAACAATGTACTTCAGCAGGTTGCGTTTGGTGAGGCAGATGGAACAGCAGGGACCGAAGAGAGAGTCAGTCGATACTGCTGAGCATATGGAGCTGGGCCCAGACTAATTGCCGCGGCCATTAACATTCACTCTGGTGATTTACCGTCTTGTTATTTTTCAGCCAGAGCTTTGTTCCAGAACCATAGTCCATAGCAATGGACTGGAGAGATGAGATCCTGCAAAACAGCGAATACACAAACAGTATAACAAATTCCATTGACAGGATTGTTTTGGCAGCATATACTGGAGTGAAGTAAAATCCACAGGTATGATATGCTACTGAATATGGGCATTCTTCACTGTGAGTTCACACACTTAGTCCACAAAGAATACTGCAGAGAGATATGCCTGGGATTTCTACACCAACAACTAAATTACACCTACACCAAAAGATTCATGTGGGTTAGAATAACAGATCAGACGTCAGGGAAATGCTATAGCTTGTGATGCACTGCACTGAAACTCCCTTCTTCTCTCTATGCCTATACAACAGAAGCAGGGTTATGGCACATGCCACAGAAAGGCTGGTTGCCTTTTAAGATTCTACACTGAATAAAAACATTTTTAATAATCATAATTAGCACTTACTGTACATAGTAACTTCCATCCAGGATCTCAAAGCAGCACAACCATTACTTGCTAAACCCTTAGGCTGTGTCTAGACTGGATAGTTTTTCCGGAAAATCAGCCGCTTTTCCGGAAAAACTTGCCAGCTGTCTACACTGGCCGCTTGAATTTCCGCAAAAGCACTGAATTTCTACTGTAAGAAATCAGTGCTTTCTGCGAAAATATTATGCTGCTCCTATTCGGGCAAAAGTCCCTTTTGCGCAAAACTTTTCCGTTAAAAGCATTTCCAGAAAATCATGCCAGTCTAGACATAGCCTTAGGGTATGTCTACACTACAAAGTTAATTCGAACTAACAGTAGTTAGTTTGAATTAACTTTCATAGGCGCTACACATACAAACCGCTAGTTGGAACTTAATTCAAACTAGCGGAGCGCTTAATTCAAACTAGGTAAACCTCATTCTACGAGGACTAATGCCTAGTTTGAATTAAGTAGTTCGAATTAAGGGCTGTGTAGCCACTTAATTCAAACTAGTTGGAGGATAGCCCTTCCCAGCTTGCCCTGGTGGTCACTCTGGGCCAAGCCAGGGAAACTCTTCTGCCCCCCTCCCGGCCCCGGAGCCCTTAAAGG